CAGTATCTGTTACAGGTACAAGTGTTACCTACAGTATCTGTTACACTCAGGTACAAGTGTAACAACCTACAGTATCTGTTACACTCATGTGCAAGTGTAACCTACAGTATCTGTCACAGGTACAGGTGTAACCTACAGTATCTTTTACAGGTACAAGTGTTACCTACAATATCTGTTACACTCATGTGCAAGTGTAACCTACAGTATCTGTTGCAGGTACTAGTGTAACCTACAGTATCTGTTACAGGAACAAGTATAACCTAAAGTATCTGTTACAGGTACAAGTGTAACCCACAGTGTCTGTTACAGGTACAAGTGTTACCTACAGGATCTGTTACACTCAGGTACAAGTGTAACAACCTACAGTATCTGTTACACTCATGTGCAAGTGTACCCTACAGTATCTGTTACAGGTACGAGTGTAACCTACACTATCTGTTACAGGTACAAGTGTAACCTACAATATCTGTTACAGGTACAAGTGTAACCTACCGTGTCTGTTACGTCATGATCACCAACAATGACACATTAGTTACAGGTACAAGTGTTACCTACAGGATCTGTTACACTCAGGTACAAGTGTGTATCTGTTACACTCAGGTACAAGTGTAACCTACAGAATCTGTTACAGGTACAAGTATAACCTACGGTATCTGTTACAGGTACAAGTGTAACCTACAATATCTGTTAAAGGTACAAGTGTAACCCACAGTGTCTGTTACAGGTACAAGTGTTACCTACAATATCTGTTACACTCATGTGCAAGTGTACCCTACAGTATCTGTTACAGGTACAGGTGTAGCCTACAGTATCTGTTACAGGTACAAGCGTAACCTACAGTATCTGTTACAGGTACGAGTGAAACCTACAGTATCTGTTACAGGTACGAGTGAAACCTACAGTATCTGTTACAGGTACGAGTGTAATCTACAGTATCTGTTACAGGTACAAGGATAACCTACAGTATCTGTTACAGGTACCAGTGTAACCTACAGTATCTGTTACACTCAGGTATCTGTTACAGGTACGAGTGTAATCTACAGTATCTGTTACAGGTACAAGCGTAACCTACAGTATCTGTTACAGGTACCAGTGTAACCTACAGTATCTGTTACACTCAGGGACAAGTGTAACAACCTACAGTATCTGTTACACTCACGTGCAAGTGTAACCTACAGTATCTGTCACAGGTACAGGTGTAACCTACAGTATCTTTTACAGGTACAAGTGTTACCTACAATATCTGTTACACTCATGTACAAGTGTAACCTACAGTATCTGTTGCAGGTACTAGTGTAACCTACAGTATTTGTTACAGGTACAAGTGTAACCTACGGGGGCTGTTACGTCATGATCACCAACAATGACACATTAGTTACAGGTACAAGTGTTACCTACAATATCTGTTACACTCATGTACAAGTGTAACCTACAGTATCTGTTGCAGGTACTAGTGTAACCTACAGTATCTGTTACACTCAGGTACAAGTGTGTATCTGTTACACTCAGGTACAAGTGTAACAACCTACAATATCTGTTACACTCATGTGCAAGTGTACCCTACAGTATCTGTTACAGGTACAGGTGTAACCTAAAGTATCTGTTACAGGTACAAGTGTAACCTACAGTATCTGTTACAGGTACAAGTATAACCTACAGTATCTGTTACAGGTACAAGTGTAACCTACCGTGTCTGTTACGTCATGATCACCAACAATGACACATTATAAATGACACATTATAAACATTCCATATTAGATAGACTGTTGTAAATTGAAATGTTCAAAATTTTGATGGCAAGCTCTACTTAAATGTTCGATTATAATTTTTGTCCACACATTATCACCTACATTATCTGTTTCAGTAGAGGTGTATTTAATAGCAGAGGATGTAAAAGAACAATCTACCACTAGATATTCCCCTATACCTGTAAGGTAGTCACAGAAATAAAGCTGCTCACTTGCATTCGTCATCCATGAATATTGATTTGTAAAATCAGAAAATTTGCCAAAATATATTTTGGTAATAACGATCATGATGTATACTGGTCTTGATCAGCATTATGAAATATGAGGATTTATTTGTCATTGTTTGTATTTTCAGAACGATTGTACCTTGGAAGATTTTTCGACAGACACTAAATGAGGAGCACCCTATCAGCTCGGCCCTGGAGGCTATGGCTCTCAAGTCGACCATAGATCTTACCTGTAATGACTACATATCAGTCTTTGACTTTGATGTATTCACAAGGTAGTTATCTCCCTTCTCTTACATGTTGTCTCCCCTAAATAATTTCCCTTAATTAAGAGATAATTTCCTCCTAATCATCTCATGTCATTTATAAAGTGTCTCCTCAGAATTGCTTTCTTTCAGTCAAAATGATTTCCCCTGAATTAGACTACTATGTCTGAAGTTGCCTCCCCTTGATTTGCTCCTTTTTACTTTGAAGTTATCACCAAAATAATAATTTTGTTTGTTAGCTCACCTGGCCCGAAGTTACCTATATGTCAGTTGCATGTAACAAAAGAAACAGGTGAGCGATACAGGCCCTCTGGGCCTCTTGTTCTATTTAATACTATATCCTGGGTTAAATATTATCAACTTCCCCCAACTCACTTATGTTAGGTCAAAAAATTTCATAAGTTTAGTGGCCTATGCATTAAAAAATGTGTTTGTTTAGGTTATTCCAGCCGTGGATAAATTTACTGCGGAACTGGAATGTACTGGCAGTGACTCATCCTGGATATGTTGCCTTTCTCACCTACGACGAGGTCAAGGCCAGACTACAGAAATATGTCACGAAGCCTGGCAGGTTGGTAAAGGTCTCTAGGCCAGGGTAATTCATAGTCAGGAAAGATATTTAAGGTAAAAGTTTAGTGGAAGGGGAACTCAAGATCAATAATATTCCATTAAAGTAATTCTGGCTGATATTGAAATATGTTGAAATCAACACTTCTAGTCAAGTTTTATGTATAACATGCATACCTGCCGCTGATTTTACCCTTTCTTTCACATTTATGTTAAAAACTTCATATTTCAGATCCTACGTTCATTTCTCAAAATAGACTTTTTCTTTTTATCCCATATGCATGGGCAGCGTCCGGCTTCCGTCAACTTTTTCTTTTAAAACGCTACTGGTCCTGAACAGCTCAGAGGATTTTGACCAAATTTGGTCTGGAGCATCATTGGCCAAAGGGTTCTCAGTTTTGTATAAACGGAGGGTATGGTCCCTCTAGATCTGGGGGCAGAGGGGCGGGGCCAAATAGGGGGAAAATAGGTAAATCTTTAATAATCTTCTTCTTCTCAACCAATAGAAGGATTTTGACCAAATTTGTCCTAGAGCATCTTTGGACAAAGGACACTCAAGTTTGTATAAACAGAGGGTGTGGCCCCCTTCTTTAGGGCAGATGGGTGGGGCCCATTAGGGGAAATAGAGGAAAACATCAAAGATCCTTCTCCTTTTTTACTGATGAAGGGATTTTGACCAAATTTGGTCTGGAGCATCATTGGCCAAAGGGTTCTCAGTTTTGTATAAACGGAGGGTATGGTCCCCCTGGGGGCAGAGGGGCAGGGCCAAATAGGGGGAAAATAGGTAAATCTTTAAAAATCTGCTTCTTCTCAACCAATAGAAGGATTTTGACCAAATTTGTCCTAGAGCATCTTTGGACAAAGGAGACTCAAGTTTGTTTAAATGGAGGGTGTGGCCCCTCTGGGAGCGGAGGGGTGGGGCCAAATAGGGGAAAAAGAGGATTTTTTTTCTCTTACTATACAAGTGAAGGGATTTAAACCAAATGCAGTCTGAAGCATGATTAGGGACAAAAGAATCAATTTTGTATTTGGGGCAGATGAGTGGGGCCCATTAGGGGAAATAGAGGAAAACATCAAAGATCCTTCTCCTTCTGTACCATTGAAGGGCTTTTAACTAAACTTGTTCTAGAGAATCTTTGGGCAAAGGGAATTGAATATTTATAAATGGAAGATGTTAATATGAGTATTCAGTAGTAGACTTAAGTATCTTACTGAGAGGTATGGGGGAAATGTTAACATGAGTGTTCAGTAAGGGACTTTTGTATCTCACTGAGAGGTTTGGGGAAAATGTTAACATGAGTGTTCAGTAGTAGACTTAAATATCTTACTGAGAGGTATGGGGGAAATGTTAACATGAGTGTTCAGTAGTAGAATTAAATATCTTACTGAGAGGTATGGGGGAAATGTTAACATGAGTGTTCAGAAAGGGACTTTTGTATCTCACTGAGAGGTATGGCGAAAATGTTAACATGAGTGTTCAGTAGTAGACTCAAGTATCTTACAGAGAGGTATGGGGAAATGTTCACATGAGGGTTCAGTAGGGGACTTTAGTATCTCACTGAGAGGTATGGGGGAAATGTTAACATGATTGTTCAGTAAGGGACTTTTGTATCTCACTGAGAGGTATGGGGAAAATGTTAACATGAGTGTTCAGTAGTAGACTAAAGTATCTTACTGAGAGGTATGGGGAAATGTTCACATGAGTGTTCAGTAGGGGACTTTAGTATCTCACTGAGAGGTATGGGGGAAATGTTAACATGAGTGTTCAGTAGGGGACTAAAGTGTCTTACTGAGAGGTATGGGGGAAATGTTAACATGAGTGTTCAGTAAGGGACTTTTGTATCTCACTGAGAGGTATGGGGAAAATGTTAACATGAGTGTTCAGTAGTAGACTTACGTATCTCACTGAGAGGTATGGGGGAAATGTTAACATGAGTGTTCAGTAGGGGACTTAAGTATCTTACTGAGAGGTATGGGGAAAATGTTAACATGAGTGTTCAGTAGGGGACTTGAGTATCTCACGGAGAGGTATGGGGGAAATGTTACATGAGTGTTCAGTAGGGGACTTTAGTATCTCACTGAGAGGTATGGGGGAAAGTTAACAGGAGTGTTCAGTAGGGGACTTAAGTATCTTACTGAGAGGTATGGGGAAATGTTAACATGAGTGTTCAGTAGGGGACTTGAGTATCACTGAGAGGTATGGGGGAAAGTTAACAGGAGTGTTCAGTAGGGGACTTAAGTATCTTACTGAGAGGTATGGGGAGATGTTAACATGAGTGTTCAGTAGTAGACTTAAGTATCTTTCTGAGTGGTATGGAGAAAAGTTAACATGAGTGTTCAGTAGGGGACTTGAGTATCTTACTGAGAGGTATGGGGGAAATGTTAACATGAATGTTCAGTAGGGGACTTAAGTATATATCTTACTGAGAGGTATGGGGGAAATGTTAACATGAGTGTTCCGTAGGGGACTTGAGTATCTCACGGAGAGGAATGGGGGAAATGTTAACATGGGTGTTCAGTAGGGGACTTTATTATCATCTCACTGAGAGGTATGGGGGAAATGTTAGCATGAGTGTTCAGTAGGGGCCTTAAGTATATATCTTACTGAGAGGTTTGGGGGAAATGTTAACATGGGTGTTCAGTAGGGGACTTTATTATCATCTCACTGAGAGGTATGGGGGAAACGTTAACATGAATGTTCAGTAGGGTACTTAAGTATCTTACTGAGATGTATGGGGGAAATGTTAACATTAGTGTTCAGTAGGGGACTTTATTATCATCTCACTGAGAGGTATGGGGGAAATGTTAGCATGAGTGTTCAGTAGGGGCCTTAAGTATATATCTTACTGAGAGGTATGGGGGAAACGTTAACATGAATGTTCAGTAGGGTACTTAAGTATCTCACTGAGAGTTATGGGGGAAATGTTAACATGGGTGTTCAGTAGGGGACTTTAGTATTATCTCACTGAGAGGTATGGGGGAAATGTTAATATGAGTGTTCAGTAGGGGACTTGAGTATCTCACGGGGAGGTATGGGGGAAATGTTAGCATGAGTGTTCAGTAGGAGACTTAAGTATCTTACTGACAGGTTTGGGGGAATTGTTAACATGAGTGTTCACTAGGGGATTTAAGTATCTTACTGAGACGTATAGGGGAAATGTTAACATGAGGGTTCAGTAGGGGACTTTAGTATTATCTCACTGAGAGGTATGGGGGAAATGTTAACATTAGTGTTCAGTAGGGGACTTGAGTATCCCTGAGAGGTATGGGGGAAATGTTAACATGAGTGTTCAGTAGGGGACTTTAGTATCATCTCACTGAGAGGTATGGGGGAAATGTTAGCATGAGTGTTCAGTAGGGGACTTAAGTATCTCACTGAGAGGTATGGGGGAAATGTTAGCATGAGTGTTCAGTAGGGGACTTAAGTATCTTACTGAGAGGTATGGGGGAAATGTTAACATGAGTGTTCAGTAGGGCGACAGGGAGGATCACTGAGAGGTATAGGGGAAATGTTATCATTTTCCTGTGGCTCAAATTTAAAAGGAAGTATACATTATTCAAACAATTTGAGAAGGAAATATTTCCATTGTTTTGACAATAGGATACAGTCACATAAGACCTTGATAAGAAATACGTCATACATAAGGAAGTAGCTGATTATTGTCTGTGACAGAGAGGCTTATAGCTAGCTGTTTATTGTCTGCGACAGGGAGGATTATAGCTAGCTGTTTATTGTCTGTGGCAGAGAGGCTTATAGCTAGCTGTTTATTGACTGTGACAGGGAGGCTTATAGCTAGTTGTTTATTGTCTGTGACAGGGAGGGTTATAGCTAGCTGTTTATTGTCTGTGACATGGAGGATTATAGCTAGCTGTTTATTGTCTGTGGCAGAGAGGCTTATAGCTAGCTGTTTATTGTCTGTGACAGGGAGGCTTATAGCTAGCTGTTTATTGTCTGTGACTGGGAGGCTATAGCTAGCTGTTTATTGTCTGTGACAGAGAGGCTTATAGCTAGCTGTTTATTGTCTGTGACTGGGAGGCTTATAGCTAGCTGTTTATTGTCTGTGACAGGGAGGCTATAGCTAGCTGTTTATTGTCAGTGACAGGGAGGCTTATAGCTAGTCGTTTATTGTCTGTGACAAGGAGGCTTATAGCTAGTCCGCTAAAACTGACCATAATTGCAGGCTAAACAAATCTGATCGGTCGCCTGTTTATGGTCAGCTATCGACTGCTTTTTAAATGGCGCGGATTGTCGTCGAAATCTGGCGACAGCGATTGTGAGAGTTATACATGTTTGTCAGAGAAAATAATCATACCGTTATTTCAGTTGATTCATTTCTAACTCACTTGACTAGATGTCATGTCCGTACTCGATACGATATGGACGCTACATCGTTTTATTCAATTGAGGTGCTTTCGACTGCTCACATCGACAGCCATCTTGCCTTCAACAATAGGGTGCATGGCAGGGCCCTTGCTGATGACCTGTCAGTATTCTAGTTTATACATCCTCTGTGTGTATTTGAAGTTACAGGTACAGGAATAAAAAACCCATTTTCTATTTTCAGTTACGTGTTCCGTTCCAGTTGTACTAAGTTAGGCCAGTGGGCCATCGGCTATGTTACTGCCGAGGGACAGATACTGCAAACGATTCCACAGAACAAATCCTTGTGCCAAGCTCTGCTGGACGGCCAGAGGGAAGGCTTGTAAGTTATACTGCTGACAGTACTACCAGTCATCAGTCTTTTACCTTCTTCCTAATTATATAAAACAATCAGAAAACAACCAATCAGTTTACTGTATAGCAGTTATATTTCGCGGGGGTTTTAATTTCGTAAAAGCCAACGCTGTTATGCAAACTTAAATGAACTCAAATCAGATTATCACTGGACGACTGGGCAGTCCGTGTAAAACCAACACTTACATTTAGTTGGCCACAACATGTTCATGTGTACACATCAGTAGGTAATTAATTTATAACAGTTTACTCCTATGTGTACATGTACATACACATTTGATATTCTTTCGAAAGGAGTCACTGGAGGATGACGACGCTTGGTATCAGTGTTTTCAAACGGTTTACCTGTATTTCGAGGTTTAACCCTTAAATGAAGCCACTCAAAGTACTTCGCTCGATGCATGAGATCAGGTGCACAGCGAAATTTAACCCACGTGAATATGAACTGAATACGAAACCTGGAAATATTGACTCTGTGAATTTAAAGCGCTGTACAGTACTTAAACCTCCCAGAAGTTCCAGTTACGTTTAATTTGTATAAAAATGCCCTTTTAATACTTAGCTAAATTCCCTAGTCCACAACAACCATGAAATAAACTAGCACCCAATAGATATTGTGACAATGGTTTATTTGATTAAAGATGGTCAATATTTCTTTCTTTACTGTCCATAATTATATAACATTAGAAACACCCTTAATGTAAAAAACATTAATCCAAAAACTGTACCAAACGGAGTTCCAGACCCACTCTTCATGTTGCTGATAAATATTGACTGTAACTTTCATGACAAATGGACTAATACCAAATTTTTGTTCTTTTAATTACTAGTAGTCCCAGGGGCTGCCTTACATTACTAGTAGTCCCAGGGGTGGCCTTACATTACTAGTAGTCCCAGGGGGGGCCTTACATTACTAGTAGTTCCAGGGGCTGCCTAACATTACTCATAGTCCCAGGGGCTGCCTTCCATTACTAGTAGCCCCAGGGGCTGCCTTACATTACTAATAGTCCTAGGGGCTGCCTTACATTACTAGTAGTCCCAGGGGGTACCTTACATTACTAGTATTCCCAGGGGCTGCCTTACATTACTAGTAGTCCCAGGGGCTGCCTTACATTACTCATAGTCCTAGGGGCTGCCTTACATTACTAGTAGTCCAAGGGACTGCCTTACATTACTAGTAGTTCCAGGGGCTGCCTTACATTACTCATAGTCCCAGGGGCTGCCTTACATTACTAGTAGCCCCAGGGGCTGCCTTACATTACTCATAGTCCTAGGGGCTGCCTTACATTACTAGTAGTTCCAGGGTCTGCCTTACATTACTCATAGTCCCAGGGGCTGCCTGACATTACTAGTAGTCCCATGGGTTGCCTTACATTACTAGTAGTCCCAGGGGGTACCTTACATTACTAGTATTCCCAGGGGCTGCCTTACATTACTAGTAGTTCCAGGGTCTGCCTTACATTACTCATAGTCCCAGGGGCTGCCTTACATTACTAGTAGTCCCAGGGGCTGCCTTGCATTACTAGTAGTCCCAGGGGCTGCCTTACATAACTCATAGTCCTAGGGGCTGCCTTACATTACTAGTAGTCCCAGGGGCTGCCTTATATTACTAGTAGTCCCAGGGGCTGCCTTACATTACTAGTAGTCCTAGGGGCTGCCTTACATTACTAGTAGTCCCAGGGGCTGCCTTACATTACTAGTAGTCCCAGGGGCTGTCTTACATTACTCATAGTCCCAGGGGCTGCCTTACATTACTCATAGTCCCAGGGGCTGCCTTACATTACTCATAGTCCCAGGGGCTGCCTTACATTACTAGTAGTCCTAGGGGTGGCCTTACATTACTAGTAGTCCTAGGGGTGGCCTTACATTACTAGTAGTTCCAGGGTCTGCCTTACATTACTCATAACCCCAGGTGGCCTTACATTACTAGTAGTCCCAGGGGTGGCCTTACATTACTAGTAGTTCCAGGGGCTGCCTTACATTACTCATAGTCCCAGGGGCTGCCTTACATTACTAGTAGTCCCAGGGGTGGCCTTACATTGCTTGTAGCCCCAGGAATGGTCTTACATTACCCATAGCCCCAGGGATGGTCTTACATTAATTGTAGTCCTAGGGATGGTCTTACATTACGTATAGCCCCAGGGATGGTCTTACATTACCCATAGCCCCAGGGATGGTCTTACATTACCCATAGCCCACGGGGTGGCCATATATTACCCATAGCCCCAGGGGTGGCCTTACATTACCCATAGCCCCAGGAATGGTCTTACATTACCCATAGCCCCAGGGATGGTCTTACATTTCTAATAGTTCCAGGGATGGTCATACATTACCCATAGTCCCAGGGATGGTCATACATTACCCATAGCCCCAGTATTTAAGTTTGGATTAATATGATAGTTCTGTTGAATGTAAGACTGCTAGACTTGATGATGTAAGGCTGCTAGATTTGATGATGTAAGACTGCTAGATTTGATGATGTAAGGCTGCTAGACTTGATCATGTAAGACTGCTAGACTTGATGATGTAAGACTGCTAGACTTGATGATGTAAGGCTGCTAGATTTGATGTTTAAGGCTGATAGACTTGATGATGTAAGACTGCTAGATTTGATGATGTAAGACTGCTAGATTTGATGATGTAAGGCTGATAGACTTGATGATGTAAGGCTGCTAGATTTGATGATGTAAGACTGCTAGACTTGATGATGTAAGGCTGCTAGATTTGATGATGTAAGGATGTTATCACTAGACAGAATGGTTTCAGATCTGACTGTAAACAATGTACAATGTATGTTTGTAGCTTTAAGAATCCGGACGGCCGGAGTTTAAACCCGGACCTAAGTTACTTGGTACAGGACAGCCAGGAGGACCACATACAGGTGACTGAGGAGCAGTACGAACTCTACTGTGAGATGGGATCCACATTTCAGCTGTGTAAAATCTGTGCAGAGAACGACAAGGACATCAAGATTGAGCCATGCGGCCATCTTTTATGTACACCTTGTCTCACTCAGTGGCAGGTGAGAAATTATGAGTCATTATATCTCTCATATCTAAAATGAATTCTATAGATTCTGCCTTGTTTATAGCCAGGTTTGAGTTAATAAATTATTTATTTCTAATTCAAAATGTTATTGTATGGAACATACCTTCCAACCCGTATATACTGAAAGAGGGTGATGACCCTCTTTTGAAAATAAAAAAGACGGTCATAGCGCGAGACGTCTTTTTTGCAACCAATATAAGAAAAGTGCGGTAGATATTAAATTGGAACTATTATATTTTAATGATGTAAAAGGTACATTCCATATTCATTGAAATGTTCTTCCAGTTGATCTAGCTGATCCTCATCCACAATACCAAAAGCTGAAAAGCATTTGTTTCTGTCCAAATAAAAATGGTTCTGACAATAAGAAGTCGCACCCTACTCATATAAAATATCAATTAGGGTTTGAATTCTAATTGTCAGGACCATTTTTATTGACAGAAACAAATGCCCTTGCCTGTTTTTAAATGTCTTAGTAACATCGTTTTTAGCACCAGATCCAACTGAAATAGGCAATTTACAAAGAATGCAGAATGCAGCATATGGTCTTTATCCACTATAACTCATATTTCTACAACATTTGATATGTGCACATTAAAAAAAATATTTTAGTATTTCGTGTTGTAGAACCTGCAAGAAGACATAACGTTACTGTACCTTCAAAATGTGATCTTTACCACGTAGAAACAATCGTACAAACAACTCAATTATTCTCTAATTACTCGATAGGTTATTAACAATGGTCTTTATATAAACACCAAATTTTGTAAAAACAGTTCTAGTACGTATATAAACAACTCACAACTTACCTGTCGGTAAGAAACGGAAACAGAAAATAGATTGTATCCTTATGACAAATTTCGAGTGACTTTGGTAACTTCTAATATGCGAAAAGTTCCGGGCGAAAACGGGTGAAATTGACGAAATCCGGGTCAAAATTGTAACCCGACGTGAGGTTATCAAAGAGGGTGAATGACTAGAAATCGGGTCACTTGGCAGGTACGATGGAATGTTTTTAAGCCGCTCTTGGCGAGAGCCGAGCGGCTTATTGATTCTGTCCAGAGAACGAAATGACGGACCCACTTCTGTTCGGGGTCGTGCGCATAATTCACTCTTGCATGCTTCCACTATATAGTTTCTTTATCGTAAATAGAAAGTAGAATCTCTGACACTCCTCTGTGGGTTACATAAAGCCTTCTCATACTCTTTTCCAAATAATAATCCATACTTTAAATAATTGCTGAAAACAAAATGTTTATCTCCGGTGCATTCTACGAGTGTTGTGGTGGTGAAATTTGTGCACTTGGTTTGAGCGTTTTAGCAACTCGGATTGAGTTCTGAGGAGTGTTTGTTTTCGTGATTCGAGTTGACGCTGTCTGTACGTACAAGGAAGAAGTAAATATATATACTTATAAACCGCATGAGTGATGAAGTATAACTTCTATTTTGATGTTTCAAACGGGAACGTAATATGACGTATCGTGCTTAGGTTGATAACGGTAATACATTAAACCATCGTTGCTACCACGGACGTGGCTCTGAGACGAGACGATATGTGAACTGTGTATGCTTATCAAACATTTCTGTAACACAGCATGCCATTTCTGGTGTATTTATTTATGAAAATGTAACAATTTAAGAACAAGACATAATTGCCGCTGCTGTTTGACAAGAATTGGCGCTGTGACAAAATATTATCCAATCCGGTGTAAGTGAAATAACTTTACGTTGGTAAAGTCGCATTGAGAAATATAATTCAAATATATTCCAAGAACATTTGTAAGATTTTGTGATGAATTGTATATTCAATGACAGTAAATAAAGTCACTACATATATTAACAATTATTATTAATATGAATAAAAAATAAATAAGAATAATAAGAGTACAATGTCTCTTTTCTATATTCATGTTTTCCCACTACTGTTAATTATCCTTCATTTCACAAGCACAAAATGCACCTATTCTTTATTATCCATTCACTGATTGCCATTCTGCACGTTAATGCTCATGTCACATCATTGGAAGATGCTAATTAATGAAAATTACAACAATACGTCACAAAAGAGGGTGAAAAAAGAGAAGAGGGAGAAATGTTTTTTAAGGCATCATTTAAGAGGTGATTGATTTGGAAATTCCGAAGGCAGCATCATCACATGACCTGATTTTCAATTAGCAGAATACAGAACACATATCTGAGGTATTATAGTAGATATTGATGCTCAACTTGTTACTGAAGCAATTAAATTTAAAGTGGTGAGCGGCTTTAATGTCACACTGACATAATTCTAGTTTTATTTTAGCAAACAGAAAACTAATGAAATTAATAAGATACAAACTAAAGTTTAAGATATTACACAAATTTTATAAAACTGAATGTAAAACTGACTGATATATATATATTTCCTATTTGTATTTTTCTGAAAAATTGTACCGTATGTGTTCTATTTTGTTGATAGTACCAATCATTTGTAGATTAAAATGTTCATCAATTACAAAACTTAACTGTAAAAGTCTGTTTGCACATATTTCTATTTACACCTCTGGTAACCAGACTTGCTTTGTTAATTATAAATCTTGGGTCCAACGTGGCAAACAATACGTCACTGAGCACTAATGGATCTTAAATTAGAGTCAATCGCAAGACCAATCTCTTTTTAGAAGAAATTTTAAAGGGTTTTGCTTTTTGATGCAAGTGGGGTCATGTCACCAGAGAGGAGTTGAAGTCCAGGGTAATGATTGTGTGTGTCTGTAGTAATGTATGGTAGGTGTGTAGTGATGAACATGATTCGTACACTTGACATGTCCCCACACACCAGGAAACGGTACTTAACTGCTATATATCGACCTACATTCTCTCACACTACACAAACACATACCATTGTAACCATTTCAGATAAGTCTTCAATATCATGTACAGAAAAACTTGTCCTGTGATTATTACTGTAGCAGAGACCACCTCTATCATAATACCAGAGTGAAACTTGAACTTAAACCTGAAAATCCTTCTGCAAGGAAGACCACTTCTGATTTAACACCAGAGGAAAACTGTTAGTTATATGTGGGTTTAATTTCTCTTCGTTCTCTAATGCTGGGGTGGGGTAACACCATGAGGAAAACTGTTTGTTATATGTGGGTTTAATTCGTCTTCGTTCTCTAATGCTGGGGTGGGGTAACACCATGAGGAAAACTGTTTGTTATATGTGGGTTTAATTCGTCTTCGTTCTCTAATGCTGGGGTGGGGTAACACCATGAGGAAAACTGTTTGTTATATGTGGGTTTAATTTGTCTACGTTCTCTTATGCTGGGGTGGGGTAACACCATGAGGAAAACTGTTTGTTATATGTGGGTTTAATTTGTCTACGTTCTCTTATGCTGGGGTGGGGTAACACCATGAGGAAAACTGTTTGTTATATGTGGGTTTAATTTGTCTACGTTCTCTTATGCTGGGGTGGGGTAACACCATGAGGAAAACTGTTTGTTATATGTGGGTTTAATTTGTCTACGTTCTCTTATGCTGGGGTGGGGTAACACCATGAGGAAAACTGTTTGTTATATGTGGGTTTAATTTGTCTACGTTCTCTTATGCTGGGGTGGGGTAACACCATGAGGAAAACTGTTTGTTATATGTGGGTTTAATTTGTCTACGTTCTCTTATGCTGGGGTGGGGTAACACCATGAGGAAAACTGTTTGTTATATGTGGGTTTAATTTGTCTACGTTCTCTTATGCTGGGGTGGGGTAACACCATGAGGAAAACTGTTTGTTATATGTGGGTTTAATTTGTCTACGTTCTCTTATGCTGGGGTGGGGTAACACCATGAGGAAAACTGTTTGTTATATGTGGGTTTAATTTGTCTACGTTCTCTTATGCTGGGGTGGGGTAACACCATGAGGAAAACTGTTTGTTATATGTGGGTTTAATTTGTCTACGTTCTCTTATGCTGGGGTGGGGTAACACCATGAGGAAAACTGTTTGTTATATGTGGGTTTAATTTGTCTACGTTCTCTTATGCTGGGGTGGGGTAACACCATGAGGAAAACTGTTTGTTATATGTGGGTTTAATTTGTCTACGTTCTCTTATGCTGGGGTGGGGTAACACCATGAGGAAAACTGTTTGTTATATGTGGGTTTAATTTGTCTACGTTCTCTTATGCTGGGGTGGGGTAACACCATGAGGAAAACTGTTTGTTATATGTGGGTTTAATTTGTCTACGTTCTCTTATGCTGGGGTGGGGTAACACCATGAGGAAAACTGTTTGTTATATGTGGGTTTAATTTGTCTACGTTCTCTTATGCTGGGGTGGGGTAACACCATGAGGAAAACTGTTTGTTATATGTGGGTTTAATTTGTCTACGTTCTCTTATGCTGGGGTGGGGTAACACCATGAGGAAAACTGTTTGTTATATGTGGGTTTAATTTGTCTACGTTCTCTTATGCTGGGGTGGGGTAACACCATGAGGAAAACTGTTTGTTATATGTGGGTTTAATTTGTCTACGTTCTCTTATGCTGGGGTGGGGTAACACCATGAGGAAAACTGTTTGTTATATGTGGGTTTAATTTGTCTACGTTCTCTTATGCTGGGGTGGGGTAACACCATGAGGAAAACTGTTTGTTATATGTGGGTTTAATTTGTCTACGTTCTCTTATGCTGGGGTGGGGTAACACCATGAGGAAAACTGTTTGTTATATGTGGGTTTAATTTGTCTACGTTCTCTTATGCTGGGGTGGGGTAACACCATGAGGAAAACTGTTTGTTATATGTGGGTTTAATTTGTCTACGTTCTCTTATGCTGGGGTGGGGTAACACCATGAGGAAAACTGTTTGTTATATGTGGGTTTAATTTGTCTACGTTCTCTTATGCTGGGGTGGGGTAACACCATGAGGAAAACTGTTTGTTATATGTGGGTTTAATTTGTCTACGTTCTCTTATGCTGGGGTGGGGTAACACCATGAGGAAAACTGTTTGTTATATGTGGGTTTAATTTGTCTACGTTCTCTTATGCTGGGGTGGGGTAACACCATGAGGAAAACTGTTTGTTATATGTGGGTTTAATTTGTCTACGTTCTCTTATGCTGGGGTGGGGTAACACCATGAGGAAAACTGTTTGTTATATGTGGGTTTAATTTGTCTACGTTCTCTTATGCTGGGGTGGGGTAACACCATGAGGAAAACTGTTTGTTATATGTGGGTTTAATTTGTCTACGTTCTCTTATGCTGGGGTGGGGTAACACCATGAGGAAAACTGTTTGTTATATGTGGGTTTAATTTGTCTACGTTCTCTTATGCTGGGGTGGGGTAACACCATGAGGAAAACTGTTTGTTATATGTGGGTTTAATTTGTCTACGTTCTCTTATGCTGGGGTGGGGTAACACCATGAGGAAAACTGTTTGTTATATGTGGGTTTAATTTGTCTACGTTCTCTTATGCTGGGGTGGGGTAACACCATGAGGAAAACTGTTTGTTATATGTGGGTTTAATTTGTCTACGTTCTCTTATGCTGGGGTGGGGTAACACCATGAGGAAAACTGTTTGTTATATGTGGGTTTAATTTGTCTACGTTCTCTTATGCTGGGGTGGGGTAACACCATGAGGAAAACTGTTTGTTATATGTGGGTTTAATTTGTCTACGTTCTCTTATGCTGGGGTGGGGTAACACCATGAGGAAAACTGTTTGTTATATGTGGGTTTAATTTGTCTACGTTCTCTTATGCTGGGGTGGGGTAACACCATGAGGAAAACTGTTTGTTATATGTGGGTTTAATTTGTCTACGTTCTCTTATGCTGGGGTGGGGTAACACCATGAGGAAAACTGTTTGTTATATGTGGGTTTAATTTGTCTACGTTCTCTTATGCTGGGGTGGGGTAACACCATGAGGAAAACTGTTTGTTATATGTGGGTTTAATTTGTCTACGTTCTCTTATGCTGGGGTGGGGTAACACCATGAGGAAAACTGTTTGTTATATGTGGGTTTAATTTGTCTACGTTCTCTTATGCTGGGGTGGGGTAACACCATGAGGAAAACTGTTTGTTATATGTGGGTTTAATTTGTCTACGTTCTCTTATGCTGGGGTGGGGTAACACCATGAGGAAAACTGTTTGTTATATGTGGGTTTAATTTGTCTACGTTCTCTTATGCTGGGGTGGGGTAACACCATGAGGAAAACTGTTTGTTATATGTGGGTTTAATTTGTCTACGTTCTCTTATGCTGGGGTGGGGTAACACCATGAGGAAAACTGTTTGTTATATGTGGGTTTAATTTGTCTACGTTCTCTTATGCTGGGGTGGGGTAACACCATGAGGAAAACTGTTTGTTATATGTGGGTTTAATTTGTCTACGTTCTCTTATGCTGGGGTTGGGTAACACCATGAGGAAAACTGTTTGTTATATGTGGGTTTAATTTGTCTACGTTCTCTTATGCTGGGGTTGGGTAACACCATGAGGAAAACTGTTTGTTATATGTGGGTTTAATTTGTCTACGTTCTCTTATGCTGGGGTTGGGTAACACCATGAGGAAAACTGTTTGTTATATGTGGGTTTAATTTGTCTACGTTCTCTTATGCTGGGGTTGGGTAACACCATGAGGAAAACTGTTTGTTATATGTGGGTTTAATTTGTCTACGTTCTCTTATGCTGGGTTGGGTAACAATATGAGGAAAACTGTTTGTTATGTGTGGGTTTAATTCGTCTTCATTCTCTAATGCTGGGGTGGGGTAACACCATGAGGAAAACTGTTTGTTATATGTGGGTGTAATTCGTCTTCGTTCTCTAATGCTGGGGTTGGGTAACACCATGAGGAAAACTGTTTGTTATGTGTGGGTTTAATTCGTCTTCATTCTCTAATGCTGGGGTGGGGTAACACCATGAGGAAAACTGTTTGTTATGTGTGGGTTTAATTCCTCTTCATTCTCTAATGCTGGGTTGGGTAATACCATGAGGAAAACTGTTTTTTATATGTGGGTTTAATTCGTCTTCGTTCTCTAATGCTGGGGTTGGGTACCACCATGAGGAGCTACAATGTTAGGAGGTTTAAGTTGGATATTTTTAGCTCACCTGGCCTAAAGGGGCCAGTAAGCTTTCTGGTATGGTGTGGCATGGCCTCTATCAGCCTTTCTGGTCTCAACTTTTTAGCTCACCTAGGTTGGGTAACACCATGAGGCAAACTGTTTGTTATATGAGGGTTTAATTCCTCTTCGTCTCTAATGCTGGGTTGGGTAACACCATGAGGAGCTACAATGTTAGTAGGTTTAAGTTGGATATTTTAGCTCACCTGGCCTAAAGGGGCAAGTAAGCTCTCCGGTATGCTGTGGCATGGCCTCTTTCAGCCTGTCTGGTCTCAACTTTTTAGCTCACCTAGGTTGGGTAACACCATGAGGCAAACTGTTTGTTATATGGGGGTTTAATTCCTCTTCCTTCTCTAATGCTGGGGTTGGGTACCACCATGAGGAAAACTGTGTAACACCATGAGGAAAACCGTTTGTTATATGTGGGTTTAATGCGTCTTCGTTCTCTACTGCTGGGGTTGGGTAACATCATGAGGAAAACTGTTTGTTCTGTGTGGGTTTAATTCCTCTTCATCTCTAATGCTGGGTGGGGTAACACCATGAGGAGCTACAATGTTAGTAGGTTTAAGTTGGATATTTTTAGCTCACCTGGCCTAAAGGGGCAAGTAAGCTTTCTGGTATGCTGTGGCATGGCCTCTATCAGCCTGTCTGGTCTCAACTTTTTAGCTCACCTAGCCTGAAGGGCCAAGTGAGCTTATGCCATGGTGCGGCGTCCGTCGTCTGTCCGTCCGTCGTCCGCCGTCAATATTTTACTTTAAACAACTTCTTCTGAATAACCAAAAGTCGCAGTATGATGATATTTGGCCAGTAGCATGCTGGGATGAAGGGCTACCAAGTTTGTTCAAATGAATGACCTTCATCTATTTTTAAGGTCACAGGGGTCAATTGTCTTAAAAAATCTTTAAACAACTTCTGCTCAATAACTAAGAGGACTAGGATAATGATATTTAGCCAGTAACATGCTGTGATAAAGGGCTACCAAGATTGTTCAAATGAATGACCTTGACATATATTCAAGGTCACAGGAATCAAATATGTTTAAAACCTTTAAACATCTTCTTCTGAATAACTTAGAGGCCTGGGGTTATGATATTTTGCCAGTAGCATGCTGTGATGAAAGGCTTCCAAGTTTGTTGAAATGAATGACCTTTATCCATTTTCAAGGTCACAGGGGTCGATTGTCTTAAAAAGTCTTTAAACAACTTCTTCTGAATAAGTAAGAGACCTTGGATAATGATAATTGGCCAGTAACATGCTGTGATGAAGGACTACCAAGTTTGTTCAAACGAATCACTTTTATATATATTCAAGGTCACAGGGGTCAAATATGTTAAAAACCTTAAAACAACTTCTTCTCAATAACTGAAAACCCTAGGATGATGATATTTGGCCAGTAGCATGCTGTGATGAAGGGCTACCAAGTTTGTTCAAATGAATGACTTTTATATATATTCAAGGTCACAGGGGTCAAATATGTTAAAAACCTTAAAACAACTTCTTCTCAATAACTGAAAACCCTAGGATGATGCTATTTGGCCAGTAGCATGCTGTGATGAAGGGGTACTAAGTTTGTTCAAATGAATGACCTTGACCAACTTTGAAGGTCACAGGGGTCAAATGTCTTAAAATCTTCAAACCACTTCTTCTTAATAACCACAAGGCCTAGGGTACTGATATTGGGCCTGTAGCATGCTGGGATGAATGACCTTGACCCACTATCAAGGTCACTGGGGTCAGATGTCTTAAAATCTTCAAACGACTTCTTCTCAATAACCAAAAGGCCAAGGGTACTGATATTGGGCCTTTAGCATGCTGGGATGAAGGGCTACCAAGTTTGTTCATATGAATGTCATTGGCTCGAAATTCAAGGACACATGCTTCATAATTAAATCTTTTAATAGGTTCTTGTGAATTAAACACTGATATTCTGCCTGTAGCTGTATTTTAGTCCACTTTTAAGATTACCTTCTCTATAACCACTAGGCTCAGGGTGATGATAGCATACTGGAATGACTGACTACCAAGTGTAGGACTTTGACCCACTTGGAAGGTCACTGGGGTGAAATATACATTGTATAAAAGTGTTCAAACAACTTCTTCTCAATACCCAAAATGTGCAGAATGATGATACATAGCTAGTAGTTTACTGGGATGAAGGGCTATCAGGTTTGTTAAAATGAATGACCTTGATCAATTTTGAAGGTCACTTAGGTAAAATGTGAAAAAAATGTTTAAAACAATTTCTTCTTAATAATAAAAAGGTCCAGGATGATGATTATTGGACAGTAGAATGCCATGATGAAGGTCTACTAAGTTTCAACTGAATGGCCTTGTTTGACTTTTAATGTCACAGAGGTCAAATGAGTCAAATCTTTGAACAGGTTCTTTTGAGTGACCAATAGTCATAGGTCATGAAATTGAGGTTGAAGCTTAATCTAATTCATTTGAATCTATTTGAACTTGACCCACTTTTAAGGTTACAAGTGAGATATTAATACCAAGTGAGTGATGCAGGCCCATTGGGCCTCTTGTATAAATGCTTACAAAATGTTGTATTCCTAGCTTTAATTATGATTTATTTCAGGATTCCGATGGTCAAGGGTGTCCTTTCTGCCGATGTGAGATTAAAGGGACAGAGCAGGTTGTAGTTGACCCCTTCACACCACACGGGCATTGCCGTGGTATTGACATGTGCCGGTCTGTAAACATCCACAATAACATGGAGGACGACGATGACCCAGACTGCCTGGTAAACTACCTGAATATTTTCCTCCACAACTGATCATTTTGTAGTATTCATCAAAATATCTCTTAATTAACTTTGTTAAAGATCTAGGTAAATGATTGACAAGTACTAGAATAATTGTGGTGTGCTTATAGTGACTACAATCACTACATTATCACTGACTCGTCACAGCTGTTATAACAGGAGTCTGTATCTGTGTTCACAGGATTCCGGTCAGTGGATGTCCAACAACAGTCTGCAGGCCCTCAGTGTCAACAGGGTAAATACTCTCACATCGTGTCACTCTGCAGTCTCCATTCACGCTGTGGTGTTGTTTGTTCCAAGGGCAGGAGATATAACTTTCAGGAGGTTAAAGTGCATGTCTTAGTTAGCCCCTTAGGCAGCCAAACATGACACAGGTAGTTTATTGGACTGGCAGGCCCTTTGAGGCTGACCCGATCCCTAGTGGCCATGTAAACTGTAGCAACAAGACAAACCATGCCTATATTCTCTTGATGATGAGTTATTCATCAAAATGTTCAAAGCGATTTTTTAGAAATTTCTATAGAACAGTTTCTGATCTGTTTCAAAATAAAAGATGCTTTCTAGGCCCATATTCATCAAACCTAATTTCTTGTACTGGTGATTAAGAGATAAAAAAAAATACATTTTGTCAACATAATTCGAAGAATTTGAAAGTGAAATCAAGTGGCATTCTGTTTTGAATGTTAACGCTATACTTTCTGAGATTGTCACATGATTTAAGAAAGTTACAAGCAATTTGGTTTTAGCATAAAATGCTTTAGCATGTAACGTGTCAAGAATATCCAAATGTCAAAACAGCCATTCGTGTTTTATTTTGGGTTTAATTTTTAAAAAGCTTTTAAATAGAGGTTTATTTCAAATATAAAATCGAGGTATTTTTTTATATTTCAGTGTCGAGACAACAGGTCACCGTTCGAGTCCCCAAGTGTTCCAAAACGAGATTTACCCCCACCAGTCCCCCCACGGAGAGCCTCACCAGCTCCGTCACCTAATGTTTCACCCACATCATCACCAAAACCTCCTCAGTAAGTATGTCATCACATAGCCTCTCCAAAAACCACAGGTCTGTACAGGACCTAGTACTGTCAGTGTGAAGCCTCTCTAACCACCACAGGTCTGTACAGGACCTAGTACTGTCAGTGTGTAGCCTCTCTAACCACCACAGGTCTGTACAGGACCTAGTACTGTCAGTGTGAAGCCTCTCTAACCACCACAGGTCTGTACAGAACCTTA